CACACACACACACACACACACACACACACACACACTCACACTAACACACACGCACACACACACGCACACACACACGCACACTTACAGGAGATCTCGTATCACAGATCGTCAGATTTCCAAGAAAGCAACATTTGTTTTAGGAGAAAGAAGTACAACTTTCATTTCCAAGAATACCCCGCCCCACTTTATATACCACGGACACACTACATATTTTTACCTGACCATGAAGGAACAAAGGTAGAAAGCTGAAACTGGGAACAAAGCTTAGTCTTTCTTTACGTAGTAGCCTCCCAGAGTTATACATGTTTGCCATCTGTGTATGACCTTGAAAATACCTTGAGAATAGAGGACCCTCTCTATGTCAGAAAACCAGCCCTCTACCGCTTCTTTGACCACATCATCACTTTTGTAACACCAAAATGCTATCACAGCATAGGATGGGCAACCAGTTCCATATACGGCATGCGTCTCCGTAAAAATATCCTGTAGTTGCTTGCCTTGCAAGGACTAATGCTTCCTTACTGCCCTGTGCTCAATTTTCTTCAATTTTATGTTGAAACTGGAGAACAACATACCCCTATTCATTTACAGTGCGCTGGTTGTAAAACCAGTCATTGGAAATTCCCCCAAATTTACAAGCATTCCAGGAAGACAATCGTTGGCTTTCACCCCAAATTTCAGCCTTCTACCTTTATTCCTTCATGGTCAGGTAAACAAACTGTTGGTATGCCCCTTGTATATACAAGGTATTTCTTGCTTTTGCCAATATTTATAATGTGAAGTTGGACAAAGGATTTCTCGAGTTCTTGCAACCGATACCGCAGATGAAGAAACTTCAATTTTAATAACAAACGATGATGATGATGATGACGACGACGACGACGACGACGACGACAACGACAAGGACTGACCGTGGTTGTAGAGACTGTCTCTCTTAAGCAGGTTGACGATGCGGAACTTGTAGGTGACCCCTGGCACGGCATTGCTGACCCTGAAGTAGTACCACTGGGTGTGGCGGGCCGTGTACAGGTCAGACTTGAGCACCAGCTCGTACTCGTAGTGACCACTGGTCAAAGATAGAGAGACATACACACATATACATAGACATATACATATACATAGACACACACACATATACATAGACATACTCGTAGTGACCACTGGTCAAGGGAGAGAGACACACATACACACATATATACCTAGACATAATATACACATACATAGACATATACACATACATAGACATATACACATACATAGACATATACATATACACATACATAGACATATACACATACATAGACATATACACATACATAGACATACACACATATATACATACACGTACTCGTACTGACCACTAGGCAAAAATAGAGGGGCACATACACATATACATACACGTACTCGTACTGACCACTGGGCAAAAGGAGAGAGAGACGGACACACACATATACATGGACATACTCGTTGTGACCACTGGTGTAGAGGGAGGGAGAGACAGATACACATACATACATAGACATATACATAATATATACATATACACATACACACGTACTCGTACTGACCACTGGTGTAGAGGGAGGGAGAGAGAGACAGATACACATACATACATAGACATACTCGTAGTGACCACTGGTCAAAGATAGAAGAGCACATACATACATACACACATACATACATAGACGTACTCATAGTGACCACTGGTGTTAAGGGAGGGAGAGACAGACACATATACATACACATACTCGTAGTGACCACTGGTCAAAGATAAAGGGATAGACACACATATACATACACATACTCGTAGTGACCACTGGTTAAGGGAGAGAGAGACAGACACACATGTATACATACACCTACTCGTAGTGACCACTGGTGTAGAGGAAGGGAGAGAGAGACAGACACACATACACATACATAGACATACTCATAGTGTCCCCTGGTTAAGGGAAAGAGAGACAGACACACATACACATACATAGACATACTCGTACTGACCACTGGTGTAGAGGGAGGGAGAGAGAGACAGACACACATACATACATAGACATACTCGTAGAGATCACTGGTTAAGGGAGAGAGAGACAGACACACATACACATACATAGACATACTCATAGTGTCCCCTGGTTAAGGGAAAGAGAGACAGACACACATACACATACATAGACATACTCGTACTGACCACTGGTGTAGAGGGAGGGAGAGAGAGACAGACACACATACATACATAGACATACTCGTAGAGATCACTGGTTAAGGGAGAGAGAGACAGACACACATACACATACATAGACATACTCATAGTGTACCCTGGTTAAGGGAGAGAGAGACAGACACACATACATACATAGACATATATATATATATATATATACACACACCTACACACACATACAT